TACCTTTATGATCCACCTCATAAATACTTCAGCATAAATTGATCTAGTCTTTTATTTTATTTATTTATCAATCTGCATTTTTTTTTTACCCTGGCCCTATTCCATAGGTCTGCACATTTCAACATTCTTCAAACTCTGAAATGATATATGTGCCTTTTCTCAGGAGGCTGTTGCAATGGTTAAACCTTTCTTTAAGACGCAGAGGAAGCCAGCAACGAGGCTGATGCACGAAACCCTATCAGAGAGAGTGCAGATCACATTGCTATTGTTGCTGTCCATTTCTTGGCAAACCAAGGCGAGTGCACTAATCATGGCTCTTGTTTAAGGATCTTTGCCTGCACCTAGGGATGACAATTTGACCCGTTCCCGCGGTTATCCGCCACACCCCCCCTCGTTTTTGACAGTTTTGGTGGACCGTTTTCCTTATTTGGGTGGGGATGATTTGATGCAACAAAAACCCACGCGGGTTTGATGCGAGGGCGGAGGGAGGTCGCCCCGTCCCGTTTAGATAGACAAATTACTAAAGTACCCTTATTTCATTAATATATATATATATATATATATATATATATATCACTGTATATTAAGTACCCCATATAACAATATCAAAGTAACAAATGAATTTTATTAAAAGGAAAGTTGTAATGGTGAAGAATTGAAGATGAGGAAAAAAAAAAAAAAAAAAAAAGGAGCAAATTCATTTCAACAATAATTAAATTTTGGTCTTAAATGAGGCAGGGCGGGTACCCGCGGGGGTAAAAATGTTAAACGGTTACGGGGATAGAGTAAAAAGTTCTCCCATTTTTGCGGTTTTAGACGGGGACGAGGTTTTTAAATAGTTGCGGGGGCGGGGGAGGGTACACCCGCCCAAACCCGCCCCCGTTGCGATCCCTAGGATACAACTACATTCTAAAAAGCCGATAATACGTAAAGCACATTAGTGTTCCCACCCACTTTGCATCAAGCGGAGAACCAAACCGCTTAGTGCAGGTAGGGAGGGCAACAGGGGCCAGTTTGGGCGGGTGTACCCTCCCCCGCCCCCACAACCATTTAAAAACCCCGCCCCCCTCCCCGTCCCTGCCCAAAACCGCAAAAATAGGGAAATTTTTCACCCCATCCCCGTAACCGTTTAACATTTTTACTCCCGCGGGTACCCGTCCCGCCTCGTTTAAGACCAAAATTTATTTATTGTTGAAATAGATTTGCTCTTTTTTTTTTCTTTTTTTTTTTCCCTCATCTTCAATTCTTCGTCATTGCAAATTTCCTTTTAATCAAATTCATTTGTTACTTTAATATTGTTATATATGATACTTAATATATAGTGAGAAATATATATATTAATGAAATAAGGGTACTTAAGTAATTTGTCTATCTAAACGGGGTGGGGCGGTACGGGGCAACCTTTTCCAGCCCCCGCACCAAACCCGTGTAGGTTTTTATTACATCAAACTATCTCCGCCCAAATAAACAAAACGGTTCCCCAAAATCACCAAAAACTGTGCGGGGTGGGGCAGGTAACCGTGGGGGCGGGTCAAATTGTCATCCCTATTGTATCCTGGTATACCTGACCCTTAAATGCAGCTACGTGGAAATTTTTGTGCGTGAATCTGTAAAGACGATGAACTACATTCTTATCTCATATGTTGTATAAGCTGTTTAAACTTCATCCTTTTGGTCCTTTTAATGGCACTTGACATTATCGGGCTTGCATTGCGCGTTTGAATGATTGAAGTTTTGCATAAGAAGCCACTGTATGTGAAACCATGTCGTGTTGATCGTTAAGGGCTATATAGTTTAGCAAGACTGATTTCTATTGTGTTGTATGAATGATGAGCTTCTTTCTCTCTACTGTTTATACATGTCTCTTTTACCATGGTGGTTGAATTTGGGTTTCGCAGTCTGCATGACGTGTATGAGTCTTGTGGACCCTCAAATGCAGTTGTGTTGATTATGATGAGATTGTGGCAAGCACGGACCCATGAAAGGCCAGTGGGGACAGCCTCCCCCGCAGAAATGTTTTCTACTTACAAAATTATCTATAGATTTTGTAAAATTTTTAAAAATGTCCCTACTCTTTTGTGAAAATTTTAAATATGTCTTCACTCAATTTCTAATGATATCCCACCATACATTATTGTTGTTCAAAGCCACCCTCTTTCATAGAAATCTCTGTTCCGTCACTGGATTGCGGTCACCTCTTTCAACTTCTTTGTATCACTAGAAGGGGATGCTATGCTTCTCTAGTGCATCACTTTGGCAACAAAATGTTGTTTTTGAGAATGCAACACCAATACTTCATAATTATTGCATATAACTTGTTCTTGCATCTTCGAATTAATAATTACATACCTAAGTAGTTGTATGTAATTATTATATTTGTATGTAATTATTATTTCGTAATTACACTCCTTTAACAAAAGGATAATACTTGGATCATGTCTTATCAGGACAACTGCAAGCTGAGTTGGCTCAATAAGAGGCTGACACCAGTATTTAACATTAAAAAATATAAAGCATGGGTTATACCCATTTCTTAGGATTAGACTTGTTTTATTTCTTTCTCCTCCCATGTAACGACCCATTCCACCACATGCTATGATATTGTCCGCTTTGGGAAAGACAGTGTCTTTTGCACCCGCCCACGGCACACCCGGGTCAGGCTCTGATACCATTTGTAACGACCCACTCCACCACATGGTATGATATTGTCCGCTTTGGGTCTGAGCTCGTACGGTTTTGCTCTTGAGTTTCACCCCAAAAGGCCTCATACCAATTAGAGATAACACAATTACATATAATCACTTTAACTTTCCTCTACCCAGGCGATGTGGGACTTGTGCACCTGTAGCTCACCGGTGTGGTACCCTGACAGTGTCTCTCACACCTGCCCACGACACACCCGTCTACAAAGTCATCACATCCCACGTGTGTTAGTTTCCTTTTCTTTTTTATTTCTCTCACGTTATGGTCCCATCTCCCAATGTCTTGCCCTCACCACACACGGCAAAGGCTCATGAATTAGAAAAGTAAAATCGAGAAAATGTAAAATATATATATATTTTTTTCGTTTATGCATAACAATGATGTGATGTTTTTTCCTTGAAGGTTAGTTTTGATTTGAAAATTTTACCCTTTGAAACTTGGCTGTTGTAGGAACTTGAAGCTCCCAAAAAATCTGTGTCATACTAAAGCCCATTGGAATCTTGTACCAGAAGAGTTGGTTTGGTTGTCAAAAGATTATTTTCTTTGGAGCCTTAAATTTGAATAATGAAATCCAGAAACTGGTTTGGGATGCTCTTTTTTTTTTTTTTTTTTTTTTTTTTTTGCACCAAAGGGATGCCTCCTTGACTTTGTACATTATTGTTTCATTTTAATAAATTTATATTTTGTAAATAATTTTTACTCCAGATGATGTGTATTACACTTTACATATTGCCCAAGACATCAAACTAAATGTAGAAAATTTTATAAATGTAATAACAAAGACATAAATTTGCATAAAAAAAAAATAATAATAATAAAAAAAAAATGAGGGTCTGGAGCTTGAATTAAACTCATTTTGAACAAAAATTTCACAATACCCATACTCGATTTAAGCTCTTTGAAAGAAGAAAAAATAATTTGCATTGGAAAATATAATGTTTGAACATACCTACTTCAAAAATGTGAAACAATCCTTGCTAAGATCATAATACTGTCTGAAATCAATGAGTTGCTTCCTAGAGTTTGGATTTGTGAATAGAGGAAACAATGTAAAATAGAGATCATGACGGGAGGAAAAAAGAAGGAGATATACGCTCACGGGTGGAAAAGAAGCAAAACGGGTCTAGTCCTAAGTAATGGGTATAACCCATGCTTTATATTTATTAATATTAAATAGAGATGTCAACCTCTTATTAGGCGAACTCAGCTTGCAGGATAAAAAAAAATACTTCACAAACAGCATCCAAGCATTTTCCTTTACAAACATGTACTTCTTGCATTTTTAAAGTAAATATATTGAATTCTTGCAATAAAGGAGTGTATAAAATACTGTAGCAAAAATTGTATACAAACGAGGATCTCAATCCCTCCGCAAGACAAAAATTCACTTTTATAGCCAACCTTACAGATTAATGAACAATTATTCAATAATTAATCATATCTACTACTCCTATAGTCAAAAGGTTGCTGATAATTATTTAAAGAGGAATAATCAGATCTAATTTCATATTAATTATTTAATAATTAATAGTATCTCAATGACTAATCACCTTCCACATTTTGATACACTTCTCTCTCCTATCATGCTCCAAAAACTCAACCATCATCATCCATAACATCTATTAGGAAGGAGGACACTTTTTTATTAGTATATTATTTTTTAATCTCTTAATTTGTCTATGAGCTCTTGCAACCTTCTGATACAAGGGCACGAGTGCTAAAAAAATTTCTTGGCTCTAATTGGTTGGTAAAGGTTCAGGCTGAAATTGAAGTTGAGTTTATCGGACTAAACATGTAAAATAGATTAACAAACATTGATGAATGAAAAAAATTTAAAAAGGATTGAAGAAATTAGAACTCTCAACCTAAAAAAAAAAAAAAAAAAAAAAAAAAAAAAAAAAAAAAAAAAAAAAAACCCCTCAAAACTCTCTACCAGAAAGATGAAGCTATGCCTTGGTTGGGAACAAGCCTAGCCATAGAATTTCTCAATTCTCAATTTCGAGCTCCCAAACATAATATGAGAGTGACTATACTTTTCTCAGTTCTGTGCTCCCAAACATAACTGAGAGTTTTTCTATCATACTACCCTAGGTGTTCAAAAAATAAATTGATTTTCTCAATTCCGAGCTCCCAGACATAACATGATAGTTTTTCTATCATACCCCCTAGGTGTTCAGAAAATTTATGCGATGTTGCAGTTCAGAATAAGCATTTTCAGATTCCGTGCTACCAAACATAACATGAGAGTTTTTCTATCAGGCGGGGTGTTCAGAAAGTGACTGATTACACACTACACATTACCAGAGAAATAACTACTAAATCGACGGTTCGAACTCCGTCGATCAAAAACACGTACTGTACATACATATCGTTCATTCATCAACGGTATCAACACATTACAACACCACCCCACCCAAAAGCAACAAACAAAACTAAGCTAAAAACTTAATACGAGGGAACGACGCCGTATCCACCATCGGCGCCGATAAGAGCCGGCGACGAAACAGCATTATAAATGCCGTCGATTTCGACCTCTGAACGCTTCGCGAACCTTCCTTTGATTCTGGGTCTGGTCTCGGCGTAGGCCTTTCTCGAAGCATATCGAATCGTCTTCTCGAACTTTCGGTTCTTTCTCTTCTCTCTGTACCTCAAAACCCTAGCTTCTCTGTCCATTCCCGAGATCGGATTCGCCACAGTCTCGCCTGTGCTCCGTCCCAAACTGTTCGATGCATCGGCCACGCCGGCGTTGTAGTCCGGCACAACTCCGACCTCCAGAGACGACGATGATAACTGCCATCAAATCATCAACTCATCACAAACCTCAAACACCAACTAAGAGTACGCAGCATATTTTATATCTCTGCATCTTTTCTAAATAAATAAACTGTTTGGTGGATGAGAAAATGAGGAAAAGTAAATCAAATCGTGGATTTTCACGTTTTACTATATGTTATTTGGTTTTATAAGACTGACATTTTTTCTTACATTTTCCTGGCCACCAAACAGAATCATCTGTATTCTTATTTTCACTTTTCCTTACATTTTCCGGTTTCTTTTTCCTCAATTTTCCTGGCCAGCAAACAGAGTCAGAAGATTCCTTATAAATGAAAAGAAAACTTTCTTTTTTGTCTCCGAATCTGATCATCTGTTTGTATTCACTTGGTTATTAGTTTTATTTTGACTACTTAATTTGTTCATTCTTATATTACTGGCGACCAAACAGAGGATAAACTGATTTGAGATAAGAATATGTACGTACACTTTGGCTGAGAGATGGAGCGTTGAAGTTGTACATGAAAGGTTTAGATCCAGAGTAATCGACGTCATAGCAAGGCACACCGTCCACCACCGCCGGAGGCTGTGGCGGTGCTGGTTGAACTTTGTTCGTCTGAACTGGAACCACTCCATCAGTGCCTGAGCTGTATTGTTGCTGTTGCTGATGCTGATGAGGCTTCTGATCCACCGATATGATATCCATATCAAGGTACGGATCCATATCAGAGAAGAGATATTCAGTTGTAGATTTGAGATCGGGACTGTCGACGACCTTCAGGTGAGGGTTTGGGAGGAGCCACGACGCCGCTTCAGCCTCCTCGGCCTCCCCGCCGGCGGTGTCATGCTCGGAGAAGTACCTGTCGTCGCCGGTTGAGGACTTCACGGCGGAGGCGGAGGCGGAGTCGTAGAAGGGGACAACCGGAAAGCGCTCGTGGCGGCGGGCGAGGGGGTTGGCGGAGTGGATCTCGCGGTCGCACGTGACGCATAGGGCGGCCGCGTCGGCCTTGCACGTGACGCTCGCCGGAGCCTGCTCGCAGACCTCGCACATCCACACGCGCGCGTGGCGCGACGAGAGCTTGTTGGCCGCGTGGACCTTGGAGTCACACCCGATGCACAGAAACGCCGAGTCGGCTCGGCAGAACAGAGTCGCCGTTGCCGACTTGCACGAGTCACACAGTTTCCCCACCAAGCTCCAACTCTCTCCCCCCATTACTTTCTCTCTCTCTCTCTATCTAAAACACAACTTTCTCTCTCTAGAACTCCCGTACCTTTGGCGATACAGATACCACTCCTTTGGTCATCTCTTGTGTCTTAGCCAGTTGGTATAGTCATTTGCCACTCATTTTCTCTCTCTATCCACTTGGTAAAGAAGATCTAATGAGTGACGAATAGGAGTTTGACACGTGGAGATTTCTTAGCCAAATAAAGAGAAAACTTAGGAGGTTGTAGAAGGGGAGAGGAGTGGTGTCGTTTTAGGGTGGAACCCACGTGAGACGTGCGTGGGTTGTGTGGTGTTTGTCTTTTTGCAATCTGTATCATAAGAAGAAAAACGAGAATTGATAATGCCAAGTGCGGGTGTGGGTGAGTGGGGTCTCTCTTAAATGTTCTTGAGAAATCTGAATCAAAATAGTAGGGGAGGCTCTTGGTGAAGGTATGGGGGTAGAAATGGACAGAATTGACAAAGCAATTATCCAAATGGATAATCACGAGGAGTTGGCCTAGGGAAAAAGACTTGGGATTTGGAGTTCCGTTAAATCTCAAGTCTCAGATTTAATTTCTTTTAAATATAAGTAATTTTTTTAGACTACAATCGCAAACATAATCTGAGTTTAACCCAATTCGTGTGAGGAATCACTTTACACAGAACCTCGAGAATTAGTCGAGAAGAAGCATCGAATACTCAGGATTTTCATAAAAAAAAAAAATGCGAATGGATCAAAGACTTTTGTAGGATAGTTTTGTTTTTTAAACTCACAACTTTTCACTTTGAAAAGAAATTGAGGACAGTTCATCCAAGTAAAAATTTAGAGTTTAACACCCATAAATTTAGAGATCGATTTTTGTTATTGATTGATGTGACAATTATTGAGTTTAACATCTTAAGAAGAAAGATCAAATATCGACACGTTATTGCATACTTAGTTATTGAAATCGTACAAAATATGAATCCGTGTTTATAGCGTTACTCAAAGTAAAAATTTAGAGTTTAATACACAAAAATTTAGAGATCAATTTTTATTATTGATTGATGTGACAATTATTGAATTTAACATCTTAAGAAAGAGATTCTATTTTTATCAAATATGACATTGTTGGATACTTAGTTATTGAAATCGTACAAAATTTGAATCCGTGTTTATAACGTTATTTATGGACTGTCTCCTTGGTTAAAACTTTTTAACTTTTTATTTGAAAATATGAGATGTAGCGTGAGATGAAGTTGGTTTTATTAGCAGACCGTGTATAGAATTCTAATGATAGAGCGGTTCATGTAGTGGTGCAGATAAATGTGGTTGTTGGAGGATTTGGTTATCTGCTGCAAATGATGAATCCAAGTAGCTTACTTTGATGATCAGGCAAAGAACTCCACATGAATTTATCACTCAATGCGCCAAAATAGTGCGCGAAAAACTAAGATAGACAAATAGTTTCTCTTGCAAAAGACTATTTAGCATAATAAAACCTATTGATGTTGAATATGAAAATCATTTGGAATTCTTCCTTAAATCCAAGTTCTTGAACCATAAACCCAATTTTGTTTTTAAAAAATATTTGATATAAATAAAAATATTTTAAAATATCATTGTTCACACACACACACACATATATATATATCATCTCCTAAGTTGTGTGGTTCACCAACAATTGAATTTGATCTTTCAAACTTTGGCTAAAAAATAAAAAAATGCAACTCTACAAGTTTTTTGGGAACCAAACCTTAAAAGAGTAATGTTATATCATTAACTCTCATGATCATTCACAAATATTGAGGTGCGAATCTAATTGATTTTTTCCTCAAATACAATTATATAATTATTAAAAAAATTCATAAAAAATAGACACAATAATTTAACATAAAATTTAAAAGTACGAGCATTCTTAATTCACAAGGCTTTGCACTCTCTAAAACGACTGAAAAACTAAGTGAATCTAAAGTTTCTAGAATTCCCTATATATACTAATAAAATAAAATTAATTTAGTAATTTACCTAGGTTAACGGTCGCCCGCCCCGGCCCGGCCCCAGCCCCAGCCCCAGCCCCGAAACCGCATAAATTTTTATTAATAAAAACCCTCCCGTCCAAGCTAAATGGAAAAAGGAACAGGGTGGGGCGGGTACCCGTCCCCATTGAGAAAATTGTCATCTACAAATAAGGACTTCCATTTTCCACATTATGTAAATTAGTAAAATTTTAGAAAATTAGTTCTTTTGATCCGAGCCCATATCCAACACCCACATATGGCATTTTTATATTTGGTTTTTGAGACTGATCAAATCCATGTTGGCAGAAAAGGATAAGGATATAACTAGGTGGTATTACAGTACCTTAAAAGGTGACCCAACAATGGTCTTGTTCATGTGTTGAACAGAGACCATGGAATTAATGCTTTAAAGCAATCTTTTGTCTAAGAATGGACATTGTCTTCAAAAGTATCTTTTGTTTATGGATTATTTAGGCCTACTTTAGGATATGGTTAAAAAAAAATAAAAATACAAGTCTAATCTAATAATTCACGCCACTCAACATTTTGATAAAATTAAAATAGGAAAAAAATATATTTTTCGATATAAATAGAGGACAAAGAGAAAAGCAAAGGCATCCCTTCCATTACGAATCAAAGTCACTTAACTCAGTGAGCTACATAAATTAAGAAGGAATATATATAGGTCTAAGAAAAAAAAAAAAACCCTGTAGTTACCAAAAACTCCATATAACCCCCTAAATTAACAAATTACTCCCGTAACTAACAAAAACTAGAAAATTGTCCCATTGAACTGTTAACTTTATGTGAATTGACAAAAATGACCTTTGATAACATAATATTATTTTATAAAATTGAATGTGTAATTTTAAAATGCCAAATATGTCCTTCAAGTGAACTGAGAAAATATACCTACAATACTAAATTTAAAATGGCGTTGTCCTGCTCTGTACTAAAATACGCACTGAATGTACCCACCTCTCTCACCTCTTCGACCACCCACCTCTCTCCTCCCCTCCCAACACAGTCCTTGTTCGATCCTCCATGCTTCCCATCAGGGCAAAGCCAAGTCCACACATCTTCAAGGATCGATGCCGTTATTCCCATTTCCGTCGTCGGCTCTCAAGTCATTGAATTCCTCATCTCCCCTTCCCCCCAAACCCTTAAAATCTATTTTATGTTCACGAAAGCAATTGGTAACTACAATGAATCTCAACCTTAAGTTGCTGTTGAAATTGACCATCACAAATACAAATTCTCAGTTCGCCTCGACTCTAATAGCAGATCCGAATGGTAGGGACTTCAACGAACGGCCTCTTCAAGCTCCGTAGCATTTGGTTACAATATTGATGACCACTTGAATTAAATTTTGAAGTTCTGTTTGAGTCAGAATCGTTCCCAAGTAAGGGAATATATATATATATATTTGAAATGGTGTTCCAAACAGGCTTTTTTGTCAAAAGAAATTTGGATATTCATTGGAGAGTGAATTCTTAGAAGTTGACCCAACAAAATAAGACAATTTTTTTAATACATCAAGAAAACAGTCCGTAATATTATAAATTAATAAAATATAACCTCTCAACAAACAAGTAAAATATTTCCGATCCAACTCATGCCATAAATTTCTTGCCTTCACAGGAAGTAAACCTACATATAAAAGATATAAAAGTATGAACTGAATTTTAATTCTCAAAAGTATTTAATTCATTAATTATCCTACCATGAAATCAAAACAATAATCATAACAGAAAGTAGAAGAATATGAAGCTAAAAAATTTGACATAATTAGCAAATAACTAAAATTGCCATTTAGAAATTAGCTACCTGATAATTGAGGGGTCATGTCTCGCCGCAACTCGAACCCTAACAATAAAAAAAATGGAAATGAGAAAGATGAACTGAAGAGTAAGAAGCCAACACAAATTTTGCGTATCGATGCTTTCAGATTTTGGATTGGATGTGTAATTCAAGAGAAAAAAATAATTCAGACATAACAAACAAAACCCAACAAATCCAATTTGGGAATACAAAAGTTTTGCACTTTTACAGACCCAAATTCAAATCAATCATATAGGAATAAGAAGAATTAACCAACAACGTACAATACGAAAGAATAAATAAATAAATAAAACTGGGCGTTGAATTGAATTGTCCAAAGTTTCAAATTTATTACGTGATTGTTTGCCATAGAAGTGAAATAGATATTAGGTGGTAGTTAGTTTGGGATGAGATCGAGCCTATACACGGTGTAATCTATTTTATATCTTGTAACAATTATTGTAAAGTTTGTATCCATTTTTTATCATGTATTTGAAGAGTTGTGAAAGCTTTCGTGATCCAAACACGTCTACATTGTGGTGAACTAGGGTGAAAGTTTGGAACTTAATTTATGTTTGGGCTGAGATCGAGTTGTTGGCATCTAAACTCAAGTGGTGCCAAATCTAACACTAATTAAGTTCGGGTCGAGATTTTTCAACCCAAACTTAACTCTAAACATGGCTACCCAAGTTTGGTGAAAGTTTGGAGCTTAATTTATGTTTGGGTTGAAATTGAGTTGTTGACACCCAAACCTCAAATGACGCCAAGTCCAACTCTAATTAAGTTCGGGTCAAAATTTTCAAGCTTAACTCCAAACATGGCTGCCCAAGTCTGAAAAATCACGTTTAATTGAGCTTAGGTTAGCCACCTCAGATTGTTCCCGACTTTAGGTGCAGGGGATGGTGAGCAGAAAATCCCTTCTGCAAGTAATGCTTGGACCAAAAGAAAATTTCTTATCATGGTTAGATTAAGAAATGGTAAATCTTACAACATTTTCTTATTAATTACTTCGTATAAGATTAACCTAAGTTACAATTCGAAGTACATTTGAATATCCAAATTTAATAGTATATAATTCAATTTTGAACTTTGCAAATAAAAGATTTTTCTTCACAAATGTGCTACTACTAATCAAACTATACAACCAAACATTGAATAACAGTAATATATTTTCACTACGTTTTTTTTTTTTTTCATCATCGTCATCATCGTTGCCTTAATCCCATATGAATGAGTCTGCCAAATAAATTCTCTCTCTCCAACCATGCACTAAACCTGCCAAGTGCACCAGAAGAACCTG